CACCAGGTTCTAGTCCCGGTCGGGGCGCCGGATTCTGTCCCAGTTGCCCCTCTTCCAGGCCAGCTCTCTGCTGTGGCCAGGGAGTGCAGTGGAGGATGGCCCAGGTGCTTGGGCCCTGCACCCCATGGGAGACCAGGAAAAAGCACCTGGCTCCTGGCTCCTGCCATCGGATCAGCGCGGTGCGCCAGCCGCAGCGCACCGGCCGCGGTGGCCATTGAAGGGTGAACCAACGGCAAAGGAAGACTTTTCTCTCTGTCTCTCTCTCTCACTATCCACTCTGCCTGTCAAAAAAAAAAAAAAAAAGCCCTCCATTTCACTGATCTTTTGTATTTTTTTTTGATTTTGTTTATTCCTCTCTAATTTTAACTATTTCTTCACTCCTACTAATTTTGAATTTGGTTTGTTGTTGTTTTTCTAGGTCTTTGAGATGCAAACTTTTCTAATGTCTTGATGCCTTTCTAATGTCTTGATGTAGGCACCAGTTGCTATAGACTTCCCTCTTAACATTGCTATTTCTATATCCCATAAGTTTGATATGTTACATTGTCATATTCATTCATTTCCAGATATTTTTTATTTACTTTTGATTTCTTCTATGACCCACTGTTCATTCAGGAGCATGTTGTTCAGTCTCCATGTGTTTGCATATTTTCCAGAGACTTTTAAGTTGTTAATTTCCTGATTCATTCTATTGTGGTCAGAAAAGATGTAAATTTTTTAAAAAAATTTATGATATTTGCTTTATGGCCTATAATATGGTCTATCCCAGAGAAAGTTCCATGCACTGATGAAAAGATTGTATATTCTCCAACTATGGGGGGAAAAGTTCTGTAGATAATAGGTAAATCCATTTGGTAAATAGTGTCAATTAGCTCTATTGTTTCTTTGTGGATTTTCTATCTAGTTGATCTGTCCATCATTGAAAGTGTGGTGTTGAAGTTCCCCATTACTATTGCATTGGAGTCTATGCCTCCCTTTAGATCCATTAACATTTGTCTAAAAGAGCCAGCGCCTTGGTGTTAAGTGCATATAGTCACATCTCTCCTGTTGAATTGATCCCTTAATCACAGCACAATGCCCTTCTTTTTCTCTTTGAACAGTTTTTGTTCTAAAGCCTATTTTGTCTGCTATTAGAATGGCTACACATGCTCTTTTTTGCTTTGTTAGCATGGAATATCTTTTTACATCCTTTCACTTTCAGTCTGTGTCTTTGTTGGTGAGGTATGTTTCTTGTAGTCAGCAGTAGATGGGTCTTGTTTTTTAATCCATTCAGCCAGTCTGTATTTTTAATTACATTCAAGATTTTTATTAATAAGTAATGACTTGGTCTTGCCATTTTTCCATAAATATTCCTATTTGCTTTGGATTTCCATTATACTTTCACTGGGAGATTCTCTCCTTTCACATTCTTTCATACTGATGACTACCTTTCTATGTTTCTGTTTGTAGCACTTCTTAAGCTGTTCCCTATCATGCAGTCACAGAGTTCCCACAGTCTCAGTACACAAGGCTCCCATAGTCATGGGGTGCAGAAGATGTGTTCTGCCCTATTTCCCTATCCCATGCACAGAGAGAGCAGAGCTGGCTGTCTGTGGGTGCTCCACTTGAGCCCTGGAGCCTGTGATATGTTGAGAGGCTGGGTGCACCTCACAGTCCTACGTGGGCACTCAGCTACATGTCAACCCTCCCAGCCAGACTCAAAGTCAGTGGTGAACATGGGTTTTTCTCTATGGTAAAAACCCCACAGCACATGCATACACGAGAACCACCACAGCTGCTGCTCGTGTCAAAATGACTCCTTCTTCCTGCCCATTGCTGGGGGTACACACAAAAGGCACTGTAGCAGCTACTAGTGTCAAAATGACACCTCCTCCTCGCTGCTTGCCAAGCATCCTTGTGGGTGATGGGGTGGGGGGAGAAATGGGACCATTTTTCTGGATTAGATGGATATCCTGTGCTCCATTAGGACTCCAGGCCAGACTCAAAGACAGTGCGCTCTTCCAGGATGTCCCTCGAGCTATATCACCAATGGCGTGGGCTGCCTCAGTCTGCTCTCACCTCACTCTCCAAAGCTGGAGCTTTCTCTGGCTTTTGGCTGCAGGGATTGTGTGAAGTGTTCTTGCTTGTTGCTGCATGTCCTCACCTTCCATGCTGATCCGTGGTGTCCTTCCTTCTGTCAAATTTCCACTGCAGATTTCTCTCCAACTCTCCCCTGGGAATGCACTTCTAAACTTTTGTGCTACTGTTTTCCTCTCTCCTAAAGCTGTGTTTCCTTTCCCCATTCAGCCATCTTGGAATCTCTCTTTGCTTGTTTTCTTTTCTTTTTTATACACTTATAGTAATAACATTGATTAAATCTATAGTCTCATTCAAATGACTGGCAGTTGATGCTACTTGTTGGTTGGGGGGTTCAGATGAGGCACTCAGCAGGGTGAACATCCTTGAGCCTTTTGTCTTATACTTCTTGAAGCATGGCACATGGGTTATGAGAAGAAACATTTCAAGAGCAAAATGGCAACAGACCTAAGTGGAACTTCACAAGGTTTCTTACAACCTGTTCTCAGAAGTCATGCAGCATAGCATCATTTCTGTCACATGCTGATGGTTACACATGTCAAGCCTAGGTTCTACATGGGAGGGTCTTCTACTATACGCTTCTATCTCCTTCAAGTTCTCTTTATCACAGTCTTGGCCAGAAATATAACTGCTCTCTTTGTATATAATATTTAGAAATAAAGATATATTCAAATACATGTATTAATGGGTAGAGCATAAATAAGTCTTAGAAATCTAGTTGAAAAGCAATCTGAATAATGTTATTTTTCTTTTTATTCAGCCTCTCACACAGGAAATCATGCCAGAAAGATTGTAAATAAGAGTTAAGAAGAAAATCTACTATCTCAGGAAAATTAGGTGTGAATAGTCAGTTAACCAGCAGGATAGTCTTCTGTATTTTACCATTAAATAACACAAAGAAACATAACTGTAACTGTTTAGATAGCAGAATTATAATAATAATGGTATAATTTAACAAACCTTACAATAAGGAATAAATTCCACTTCAATCACATATTGGTAATTGTAACATTTTAAGTAATATTTTTATATTAGTTTTTATTTATTTGGGAGGCAGGGAAACATAGGGGGAGATAGTCACACACACCCCGCCCCCAGGCAGGGAGCACAAAGGCGCGAGGGGAGGGAGACGTGAGGGGGGGGGGGGGGGGGGGGAGGGGAAGGGGGGAGTGAATTAATAGAGGAAAAGACAGAAGGAGAGCCAGGAATAACAGCTTCTCACTCTAGGGGGCGGGATAGGCGCGGGAGAAAACAGGCTGATCACCGGACAGGATGAAAACCAAAAGAAGAAAAAACAAAAAACAGAAAGCAACTAAAACGCAGAAAAAAAAGTAAAGAACCATCAAGAAGAGGACAAACGCGCAGCGATGAATCAAACTCACAGACGGCGTCAGAGAAAAAGCAAAAATCGAGCGCGAGGACAGGAGCAGGAGAGAGCACGACAGACGAGACCCACTAACACCACGCACAGCTAGCGGCTGACTGAAAGAAAACCGAACGTAAGAATCTTGGAGCCAGAAGGTCAAGCAGAGCCACGCAGCCAGTCAGCAAACTAGCAGGCAGTAGCGATGAACAGGATAACAAGCAAGGCATCTGAACGCTATCGACTTAGGATGACATGGCGACTTTCAGTACGGTAGATGCGACCGTCGATCCCATGCGGAGGGCTAGGTCGGCAGGGAACACGTAACCCCGTAGACTGGAAAGTCATGCAGACTGGAAAAAGCTGGTCCATGGGCTGACCAGCCTTTTCTAGCGCCCCGTTAGCTTGAGGGTACGGG